TTTTTTGATAAATTATGGTTAAGGAACTGTGAAAATTTGCGTTATGTTGTTGATTGTCGAATAAGAGAAATTATAAGAATTTATATGTAACATTACAATGCAATAGTAAATTATTGAATTTTCAACTGTGGAATAAAATCAATAATACAAAAATTGCATTTCCTAAATAAAATAGTGAGCAGTTAACATCTCTTTTATATTAGCGAGGTTTTTATATCTCTTCAAAATGACATTTTGAATTTTTGTATCTTGAACCACGTCGTCTAAAGCGGTTGACATCAAAGTTATTTTAGTCCACAATTTAAATCCATATACAAGTTCATTTTATTTATTTTCTTATTTTTTTGTATAAACTATGTTCTTCATTATTTTTTAATGTATGTTTAAATGACAGTTGTTGTTTTTCTAATTTTTATTTTGGCAAATCAATCTTTTACCAAAAGTTTTTTTTTTTTTTTTTGGGTTACACGACAAATCACTAATCTTGTATTCCTCTAGCTTTATTATAGAAAAATAATCAATTGATGAATTGGTGAACGCTTAAAAAAACTGGAGGAAAATACACCGAAGATAACACAATGAACTGCACTTAGCTTGATGTTTCAATACTTGCTTTTCAGTGTGACACTCGAAACTAAACGGTTCTCTAGACATGGAGAGGTGCTTAAATCTGTCCATCTTTGTATTTTACAAGGAAGATAACGCAGAAGCAGAAGATGACAGATTTCAATTTCAACTGGTTGAACCATTAAAAAAATAAAAATAAAATAAAATAAAAAACATGACTATCTAGTTTCTCCTTAATTTGGAGATTTTAAAGAGAAGTCGCCATGGCTACAAACAACAATTGCACATTTGCACTCAAAAAGATGAGTGCCACAAAGTTTGGCATGCCAAAATACGGCTTGCAAAATCTCTCAAACCCATAATCGGAGTTCAAACTAATTAATTATAATCTCCAAAAGCCGTAGCATTAATGCAAAGAAGGAAAATCCATGCCATAAAAATGTTTAGACAAACAAACAATAATATGAAAAATCCATTAAAGATATTCAGTTTTTCCAATGAACTGCACATAATGTACACGAGTAGAAGTCATTTCACCTACGTAACGACCCTAATGGCCATAAACACAGGTAAATTTAACCATCAACCGCTCAGAGAATGAATGTAGCAACCAGTTGCGAGAGTAAGTATATATTGCGCTCATAGAAACTCCTCCTGTGTATTACTTATTTATTTTATTAGAAAGGTTATGTTTTTCCTTACAAGTGTCTTAGGTGGAATAAAAATGCAACTTAAAAGGAAATTGTTTAAAAAGAAAAAAAAAATTTGATGTACTCCCTCCGTCCCGTAATTATTGTCCGGTTTGGGTTTTCATTTTTTGTTCAAATTGTACTCGAAGTGAAATCTCAAACTGCACAATAATTTTGGGACAGAGGAAGTATATAGCTGAAATGGAATGTCATATTTCAAAAATTCAATGTTACAGATTTAAAATGTACAATGATCCAGATTCTCGGTCCTATAATATCAAAACAAATGAAACATAAACCATCCAATTCAAACTCGATTGGCGTCCTAAACAATGCAAAAAATGTTTTTCTTCTCTCTTTGCACCTCAGAAATCTCAAGTTCTGATTTTTCTCAAACCTTAACATCAAAACTGATCTGACCATATCTGTGTATATTACTCGAAGACGAAATTTTTTTTTTCCTTATACAGTTATACTTACATAACTTGCTGAATCCTTTTTCCCGACAGATCACTTATGCATGATTCTCAGTAACGCACAAGAAATTCAAAGCTTAAATGTCAAAACACGGAACCAAAAAAAATTCTGATGGTAAACTAAGATCACGTACGCGAACAAGTATTTTGACAATCAAAAAATGTGTTAAATTTTTCCATGGACTTTACTCATTGATTTTGTTAAGGTTTTAGTTGATCTTGTAAATATTCAAATTTATATAATTAATAAAGCATGTAGAACTAAAATATAAGATCTTAAATCTCGTACAATAAAAATTCTATAAATTAATAATATTAGGCTCACAAAAGTTTGTTAATTTATAGAGATTATTATTTTAACGATAAATTAATAATTACTATTTCACCGATAAATTAATATTTTATAAATGTAAAGATATTTTTTCAATTCTATGAGTAAACATATACTCAACTTCATCCGTAGTTCCCTATATTTTTATCATCCTATACTCTTATTTGCTGGTTGAAGTGAAAATCATAGATAAAATTTTCATATAAATAAATTTTAAGAAAAAACAAAGCTCAATAGTCTCAGACTTTCTTAAGTTTTATTAAATTATTTGGTATTTTATGTCATTTTTCTAAAAATTTATTATATTATTAATTTATCAATTTTATTTGGTTTTTGTATTGGTCCCGATATGGGAATGAAGAAATTTATTATTTAATAGATTTTATTAATTTATAGATTATTAATTTACGGAGTTTTTACTGGCAAAAATCATATTAGGACGGTGCTAAAATACAATATTCTCATTTATTTGGAATGATAGGAATTTTTAAAGATTTGAAATATTTTAATGGTTTCTAAAACTAGGTTGAGTAATATACAAGTATACTTCATTTTTTTAAGTCTTAAATTTTAAAGTTCAGCAAAAATTAATATTTTTAAAATTGAATATTTTATTTGTGAGTTAATTATAATGACGGGATTATAACTCCAAGGAGTTAATAACATAATTAGGTGCTTGTCCGGGCCTTGCCCGACCCATTTACAACAATATATTCTAAAATTAAATATAAAAATGGTAAAAAATATTTTTAACTTTAACTCAATTTGTTATGTTTAAATTTTGGAAATAATAAAAGAATCATTTATTTATATCATTAATGTCTGATTCTATTAATATGAATTGATTGATTATAATTAAGGACAAGGAAAGTTAACACAATTAAAGATTGTAGAAATTAATTTTTTCACAAAAGTAAGTGGTTTTTATTGGGCGGGAAACAGATGCATGAGAACGCGACACATCAGCTTTTTTTATCTCTTGGACTATTGTTTTAATAGGATAGTAGATAGTAGGTAGATTTCAAAATCAAATCTGATATAATTCGTGTAACGTACATGATAAAACTAGTGAATTTAAAATGTATGACAAAAAGGGAAAAGAATCATTAAAATTGAATTTCAGGATTTTATTTTTGTTTTTTTCCTTTTCAATCTCATCAGTTGCATGACCTGTAGATCCTTTCGTGGAAAACCATCTCATTCCATCAAAACAGCTCAATAAAAGGTAGTTTATTAGAATTGTGAATGAAAAATTGAAAATACTGTACATGTTCTCTCTGAAATCTCTCCAAACTCTCTCTATATATCTGTTTCTTTGTTAGGGGAAGAAATCCCTCAAGCAAGCAAATCTCACCCACCATAAATTCAGTTAACACAGAAGCAATTCAGGCAGTACAACATCAATCCCAATCTTTTTTGCTTATCCGAGGTAAGAAACATAGTATCTATGCTTTAATTTTCTGAAGCTTTAGAAAATAATTGCATTTCATTATTTGCTTGATATGTTTCGTAGTCTGGGATTCACAGCAAATTAGTATTACCGAATTTTCCTTGGAAATGGAATTATTCTTTTCTGGACTCAAACATTTGTATTAACTATTGATGGCCAAGAGAAAGAAAAAGAAGGCAAAAATAAAATTTGAACTTTTGGAGATGAAAATGATTTTATAGTAATCAAAATAACAGGCTTGACCTATTTTCTCGTCACAATCTACTTGAACCTTAAGAATAGGAAAGAAAGATATACTCCACTATGAGCATAACAAACTGGTACTAAGTATACTTAGTCAAATAAAAGAAACAGTAAAAAAATCTTTTAAAAAAATCCCAATGAATCAGGATTACTGCTATGTTATTGATTAGTGTTGAATTAAGTTAGTAAAATTTTACAAAATGCTTACAACATCTTTCAGGATGTTAGATTTTTCAATGATGATTTTTTACATTAATTAAATTTGGCTCTTTGTTTATAGTTCTAGAACTTGGGAGTTAGTTTTCTTTAAGTTAGTCATGATGTCACACCTTTGAAATGAAGTCTTTCAGCGATTTGTTGCGTAATGCCTCTTTCATTGTATCGGAAAAGAACAAAAATTAAAAATGGCCAATTTAGTTTAAATCCCTGTTCCTGTAACTTTTGGCCCAAATACAGTCGCAACAAAGTTTCAGTTCAATAGCAGCTTTTCACATTATGTTGCGGCTAAAAAAAAATCAAGACTTTGAACTGTTTTTAAATGAGATTTTTTTTAATTAAACAAAAAAAAAAGAATTAAGCAAGGGTATATATTCCCTTGTCCAAAAACAATCGGTAAACGTGAATTCCGTTAAAGAGTCCATCAAACAAGTGTCCTATTCAATAGCTACTATCTAAACAAACTCTGATTCCGTTTAAAGATTTAAAACAATTATCTGATTTTTTTAGAAAAAAAAAGAAAATAATTTGGATAACATTCCACCACACGAATCCTAGTTATTTTATTTCTTTTGACTGAAAAAAGGAAATCATATATACTCCAATTTTGTAGGACAAGTAGGTGAAAGATGGTTTGGATTCAATTTTGTATTTTACATAGTGATTATACATTAATTTCATGACTTATCCATCAATTAAATGCACTATATTTATCATAAATAATCTATAGTATTATACTCCTAATAAAACCTCAATTCCACAAGAACAAGAAACAAAAAAAGATATCCCCGAATTATAGGTGGATTTTAACAATATCGATTGTTTGCGTATCATAGTTAATTGATGTGGATAAACTCTAAATAATTAAGGTGATGCTTATATAAAGCGCAGCCAATTTATTTCATATACCATCAACTTATTGCTTGCGCTTCCTGGTATAGCTGCTTTCACTTTTTTCCGTTCTTCAAATTTTCAGGTCTTTTTTTCTTCTTCTTCCCCATCAGGAATAATCAAATCAATCAGCGAACATGAATCACGCAACACAACAACTGGTTCGAACCATTATCGGTGTCATTGGTATGTCTTCCATTCCTTTCTTTCTTTCTAATATTCCTTTTGCCTCAAAACTTAGATTTTAATTTTTCTATTATCTAGTTTGAATTTTCAAATTTAGTTCAACTTGTGCTGAAGATGAAATTTAAACTGGATAATATTTCGGGGCAAAAGGAGTAATTGTAAATTTTTTAAAGAATAATAATGTCATTAATTTGTGTTAATATTTTTTTCTGGCTCAAATCACAAGAAACTATTGACGATGATATGTATTGATGTACTTTTTTAATTATGGGTTGTTCTCGCAGGTAATATCATCTCTCTTGGATTGTTTTTGTCTCCCGCGTAAGTATATTGATGATATATAAATTCTCTCCTTTGATGATTTGAAACATACTAAAATCAAAGCTAACTATTGGCATGGACATGCAATTAGGCCTACGTTTTACAGGATTATCAAGAAGAAATCGGTGGAAGAATTCCACCCGTGGATCTATGTTGCCGGGGTTTTGAATTGTTGCCTTTGGATATTGTATGGAAGTCCAACCGTTCATCCGAATAGCACTCTCGTTTGGAGTATCAACTCCGTTGGTCTTGTTCTATACACCATTTACCTCAGTGTTTTCATTTGGTTTGCGCCTATGGCAAAGAGGTTGCAGGTATTAGGTACCCTAGTTGTTGTCGGAATTGTGATGGCGGTCATAGCTTCTCCGACGCTGTCGTTGGTACACAGTGTTGATAAAAGAGGAGACATTGTTGGAGATATAGCTGTTATTTTCAATATCTGTCTCTACGCGTCTCCTCTCACCGTCGTGGTTAGTATTCAGAACCCTTTAATTTACTCCCTCCGACATGACTATTTAGTTTAGAACTTCACTTTTCTTATAAATTGCATTAAGAAATAAAAATTCGAACTAGATAATATATTTACACGTTATTGAGTGAAAATTACTTGAGTAGAACCCTAATTTCTTATATTCCGTTTATAAATTCAGGTTAAAGTTTTCAAGACAAAGAGTGTGGAATTCTTGCCTTTCTGGGTTTGTCTTGCCGGTTTGCTTAACGGCGCTTGTTGGACCACTTATGGATTCATCCCCTTCGACGTACACCTTGTGGTAAGTATTTTTTTTTTCTTGGTATTATCTCTAAAAATGTATTTAATAATTAACACTCAATTTTGTTACACATTTTTTTTCTGTACAAATCTCAATTTTTTTGAAATTTTTTACTAATTTTATGTAAATAAAAAAAAATTAGGTTGGAAATGGAATTGGAGCATGCTTAGGATTATTTCAAGTGGGACTCCATGTTTACTACGGGAATTGTTGCGGAAACCGGAAGGCGATCGACGACGATGAGCTTAAGAAGCCTAATAAGCCATCCGAAGTACAGCTTGAGACAGTTTGAAAACTGTTTTGTGCCGTCGTATGTTGTTTATAGGATGTTTAGCTTTGATTCATGGCAAGTTTTGTTTTGTTTTATTATTTTTTTTTATTCATGGTGATTTTGCTTCAGAGGTTTAAGTTATAATTTGTTTATAGTAATGTAGCGTTGAATTTGGAGAGTTTTATCACGAACAGGTTTTTACATGTGAGTTGGTTCTTATTACTATTATTATTTCTTTTTTGTGTGCAAAGTTCTTATTATTCTTAACTAGTATTTGTCATGGATGTTGTGCGGACGATTATGTTAATTTAATTTGGTTTTGATTACATATTTTTGAAATAATATTTTATTGTCCACTAGAACACTTGAACTTACAAAATATATAATTGTCCAATTTAAAATTTTCAATTTTAGTACTACCTCCATTTCAAGATATGTCCTTTTAACAATTTCATCAATACCAATAGAACATTAAAATGTATTTAAAATATAAAATTAAACTTTATGAGTTATACAGCTCATCACTAACCAATACAATCTCTTTTAAATACCATTTTCATTGCCATGATTTTGTAAAACAACATATATTTTGAAAAATCTTAAACCCTAAAACGACATATTAAAAAAATAGAGAGAGTATATTTTGTACTATGAATGAAATTCCCAAACATGAAGGAAGGAGTATTATTTATAATAAAAATCAAAGATAACAGTTTGGTTTTATTGTTCTATATATTCCTTAGATTTGTTTAGAGTCAAGACTCAAGATTACCATGTAAATTAAACCAGATTCTTCCCTGTACAAAAGGTATTAGAATGTCAACACAATTCCATTTCTAATATACACCTTGATCTTTTTCTGTTTCCTTATTGTTAATTAATGTTCTGAATATGTTTCATATTATAGGCACTAAATTTATCTTAAACGTATTAAATAAATTAATAAAATCAATAAAAGTAAGAAATCACCATGAAATGAACTTTGTTTTTGGAATTTTCAACTGGAGCTCCAAACATTCATCCGGACTCCACCTCCGTCAATTCTGTTGGTCTTGTTCTTACAGCAGTCGCGCAAATAAAAACTGATGAACTAGAATCAAAAAACAAATTTAAGGATGGAGCGCGGTTTTAACAGTTGTGATGTTTAGAGCCTTCCATCTAAGAAAATTTTGTTGAACGAAAACAGGATTATGATATGGACTTCTATCTTTTTGGAGAGAACTAATAGTCTATTTTATTATTCTCCTGCATAGTACTATTAACTCACTACAGAATTTACGCAGAATTGGAACCTTTCAATCTCTAATCTCTCCTTAATCTCTTTCCATTCCAAAATAATTATCTAATTTTTATTTTATTTTATTCTATACAAATTGTACTAAAAGTAAAAATTCTCGTACCAAAAATTAAAATCGAACATTTACAATTGTTTAGGGCTAGAAGAAATTATTCTTTTCTTTTCTTTTTTTTTTGTGTAAAAATACCTGATCCATTTTTTGGGGCATCTAATTGTTGTTTTATTTTGGTAAGATCTGTGTGTTTAGGTTTTTAACTTCGTGGTATCATGAACTTACTGGATTAATTCTAAAACTCACTGGGAGGTGTCAAGCTCGGGATTATTTGGTCAATTGGTCGAGTATAGTAGTATGGATTTTGGAATGGAAGAAGTCACGGATTTGGAATTGGAGGCTGGAATTGGCCCGTTGTTCACAAGCCTTGCTAATGGAAGTTTGCAAAGATAGGGGACTTTGACCCTTTCCGGAATCATTTAGGGAACCCTGGAAATCAGGAATAACCCTAATCTTTCTCAAGAATATCTCTCCGAGAATCCAAATTCTACCAGAACTAATTTTCACCGTTTTCTCTTCCCGAGACTTTTCTTGAAAGTAAACTCTAGTGTTTTCTTTCTCGTAATCATCTCCCATGTTCATTAATTGGAGGCCAGAAAACTTGGGTTACCCGCTTATATCGCTCATGGACCATTATGTTTCTATGAATTTGGCACCACAGTCTGCAAGTACATGCAACCAGAATAAATGTCTTCTAGAGATCTAATTAACTTCGATACCATTTTTCATGTAGTGTTGTTGACTATTTAACTAGATGTTGTTTATTTATTTACATTTTTAAAAAATCATAAGAAATATAAAAAGTGTAGAATATATTTCAAGTTCATCTTAATACATATTATATAAAGATAAAATATTGCATAAGATATGAAATGTAAATATTGAGTTAATGGAAAGACAAAACTTTGTTCATCCTTGTAATCATCACCGCCAACTTGTTTGTTTTTCTAATTTTTTCACACATTTGCATAATTGAATTAAAAGAAAAATGATCCAAGCACGTTAAATTATAAATAATTACAAAAAAGATTATACCTTTCTTCTTCATATGAACACACAGACAGCCACGATTTCGAGTGAAATATCAATAACCGATTGAGCCTTATATAGGTAGTGTACGAGATAAGATTTCTTTTTAAATTGAATTGTGATGAGTAATAATATTCCAAATTCAAATTTACTGAAATAACGTAATTCATGAAACCGGATAGAGAGGAATCATAATTAAGTTATTTATGGTCATTATACACAATCATCTTTATTATTTTTTGAATGTGTAGTTGGGAAAATAGAGTAGTTTTAGGGACTGATTTCTATTTATAATTAAAAGCAAAAAAATATCACTTATGGCATATTAATTAATTTCGAATTCAAAAATTTAAATTACGACCAGATATATGGTAGAGAAATCATTTCTTTAATTTGTTAGGAATAATTTACAGATGACAATAAGATTTTTAAACTGTAAATTAATGCGAAAATTAGGTTTAGGGGCTTAGTTTTTCCTACTTTTAATTACTTTATAATTTCAAAACTCATTTATAATTTTACAAAAAAATTTTAGAAGAGGTTTTATAAAATGACACCTAGATTCGCAATTAAAGAATCACTGATAATTTTGCATTAATTATTTTCAAACTTTAAAAAATTATTAATATTATTTAATGATCAAATCAATATATAATGGCATTATTCAAGGTAATCGAAAAATCTTTTCAAGTCAATCAGCTTTAATGTTGAATCAAATAAATGTTTACTTTTTTTATATGACACCTAATAAAAAAAAAACCCCATTAATGTTGATTTTTTTTTTCATTTTCTTTTTCAGTTCACCGATTACAAAATAGAAAGTTTACCATGTAATTAATTGATATAATTTAATGCGAATTGATAACAATTATTTAACTGTAAATTCAAAAGATTATTAATTGGTATAATTGTAGTAAATATTTTTTATGTCAATCTATAAGAAAATAACACATAGAATTTTGTCCTATGTGTCAACGTGAGAAAAATTGATTTCCTATATCTGATTTCTCTCTTAGTATAGTACTATAGATACTATAGATTTGCAGCTCTCAATTTAAAACTTGGGAGTGGATTATCACAATACTATGTAATTTTGAAGACCATAATTTTTGCCATTGCTATATCTATCTTTTCTTCAGGACCTAATGAATAATGTTTGGTAAGTACATTAACTCATTGATTGTTGTTTGACACTATAATAAATCGTGAATGGGGCAGAACAAGTATATACACTACGAAGCAGATTTGCCAAAAGGATTGATGCTATTTAATTACAACATCATGAAATGTAACGGCTATTTCTAAATTGCTTTTTCTCTAAGGACGAAACAAATTAAACACACACTGATGACTGGTCCACAAAATTAAAGTGAAGCGCCAAATGAACAAATAATTTTGTTTTTTTAAATGAGCATATTCCAACCAATAAATGTAATACAGGAGAAAGTACATCATTATTTTATCTAACTAAAAACAATGCAAAATGATGCTTGTTTATAAGCAAACCCCCCCCCCCCCCCACCCCCATTTTGTTTCAAGTGATTTTTCCATACGTTTAAATGCGTGATCACTATTTTGTTTGAATTGCTAGTATTCGGATGTGGTCCTACAAAATAATTTATTGCCTCAACTTTTTCAACAAAGATTTTGTACGAATAGTGTGAGTTACATGTATATTACTTATTTTTGGACGGAAAGTACCCATTTGGAGATATTGGCAACCGACAAACGAAATTTCCTAAAGCAATGGATTAGAGGAAAAAGGTTAGACACGCTGTTTTTGTTGCCCCAAGCCAAAATAATGCATTTCCTTTTGTAGTTGTGTGAGCATTTCATTTCCTTTTAGTTTCAGCCTTATAAAGCTTAATATATATATATATATATGATTTTCCTCGTGGAGTTGAATAGTCTCTTCATTTGTAATCCATCTGAAATCCTCAACCTTCTTCTTCTTTCTCCTGCCGCCAGCCACACAACATCACCACCCACCCAAACCCCCCTCCCTCCTTTTCATGTACTTTTGTTAGCCAATTGAAGCATAAGACTACTGAGCAGTGAAGTACTGAGCAATGCATTTCTATGAAGTTAACACCGTTTGCAAGTTGTTCTTCAAAGCGTACGTCCAGACTTTTTTAGAATTTGTAATTTCAGTTCGCTGAAAACTTTGTTCACATTTATTCTCTTGCATGTTATGAATCTCGTCTTTGAGAATTCGATTTTGTACTTTACAATGAATTGCAATCATGTCAAATGTTTGAAAACCCTAATTCTAACTAGCAAAATAAAAGGGAAACATGTAGGAGTAATATTTTTCTTCTTTTTTTTTTGTGAAAATGAAGGAGTAATATATATGATATACACATTCATATAGAGTTTTCAAATACACGGAGGAAGTCATTTATACAGTTTGTTAAGAAAGTGAACAAATAACAACATTATGAGGGCTCATATTTCTAATATGAGCCTTAATGTTAATAGTGTCACTAATTTCCTTTCAGTTTCAGGTTCGCACAGCTTATTATATATGGTGATCTTACCTCTCAATGATTAGTCAATCCTTTCATTCTGAAAACCTCAACCTCCTTCTTCTTTCATTCTCATCCCTTCCCTGAACAAATCAAAGTTAGCTGATCCATTTTTACC